CAGCTGTGTGAGTACTAGCAATGCCACTGAGGTACCCCAATTCCCCCTCAAATCCCCCTCGGAGCCCAGCAGCCCCAGATAGGCATGAGAGATCTGCCTGTGTCATAGGCATGAGTTTGAGCAGTGACAGAATTTCACATAAATGGGATCGTATAGTATACATTCTTTTATACTTGGCCCCTTCCACTCAGCATAAAGTTTTTGAGATGTATCATCTCAGTGTGTATATTAATAGCTTACCTTTTTAGTGCTGAGTAGTATTCCAAGGCAGACACACAAATTATCCACTTACTCCTTGGTGGACATGTGGTTTAAATGTAGCCCCTGAGGTTAGAGACAAGACCAACACTTGAAATGAATAAAACTGCTAAGATTATTTGTATACAATCTTTGTGTGGGTGTGTTTTCACTTCTCTTGGGTAAATGCTTAGAAGTGGAACTGTGGATCCACGCTAAGGGCATGTTTACTTTAGAAGGAACGGCCACATGGCTTTCTAAAGTGGTGACACCATCTCACGCTTAGCCAGCAATCCTGGGAGTCTCCAGTTGCTTCCCATCCTTACTGCCTCTTTCTTTTGTAAGACTTAAGTCTCACTTTTACTCCTGGAGCGTGAACAGCCAAGAGGCTTCCACATGCTGGGCTCAGAAGCTCAGTGAGGCTCCAGGAGCTTGTTGGACAGCAAGAGTCACCCAGGAAGGAACACACCAGACAACTTGGCAAATAGACCTTTATTAGTCTGGCCAGATGGCACTCCCCAAGCGAAGTAGCTCAGAGAGGCGGCTAGCTCAGAAACAGAGGCCATTTTATATAGGGCTAAGGGGGGGTTTACACTTAAAACTTACAGGAAGAGGACAAAGGCAAAGAATCAGTTGATCTGAGCTAGTGGTCATCAAGCATATACTTGACCGTCACGTACTAATGATCAGCAGATCGATTATCCATTATTCCATTTACAACTTAGATTATAATGTTCAGAACATTCAACTACAGACAAGTAAGGAGTGGCGTGATTTGTGTTGGGTCTCTGTGTTCACTACAGTTTCCATTTAGTTTCCCAGCTACTTCAAAGCAGTTACCTAACAATTCACAATGAATCATTAGTTATCCTATAAGGGATGGGGGGAGCGACAGTCTCTAGGTCGTTTGCTGGTCAACATGGAGTCACTCTGGTTCAGTCAGGCTCTTACGCTTTTATCCATCTTTTTGTTTTAGTCATTGCAATGGTCATTTAGTGGCACGTCATTGTGGTTTTAACTTTCTCCCCCGTGACTGAAGATGCTGAGTGTTTTTCATGTGCAGCTTGGTCCTTTATATCTTCTTTTGTGATACGTTCTTTCAAATCTTTTGCCCATTGTTTTATTCTTTCATTATTTAGTTGTAAGAGTGTAAATATACATGGAAATATATACAAATATATATTTACATGAAAATATAACATGTACATATTCTCAGTATATGTTATACACTGTAAATCCTCATTTTCCTAAGCGTCTCTCGAAGAACACCATTTAATCTAACTTTCATGGAGTCTACTTCTTATCTTCCCAGATTTTTAACTTCTGCCAGCTCCTTCCCTTCAGCAATACATATGTCCGTGCTTCCAAAAACCACCCCAACTAAACCAAACCAACCCAATGCACCCAACACCTCCAAAAGCCATTTATGGAGTTCACATCCTTCCCAGCCTGTCTCACCCTTCTTCCTTTCACAAACAGGCAGCCCAAGTGGAGAGCCTTTCTTTGCTGTCTCCAGCAAAAAAAAAACCCACACTCCCCTGAGACCTCTCTGGGAGAGTCCGGGCCTGGAACTGCTGCCCCATTCCAGCAGCGAGGTGCCTCTCCCCTCTTCCCTGCTGACTCCCTGGACAGGGCCAGGGAGCCAGGCCGAACGGGGAGGCGGGGCCTGTGGAGTTGAATGTAGGACTCCGGAACGCTTTGGCTGTTTCTCTTTGTGCTCAGTCTTGCTTTCTCTTGGTTTCCTCTAATATCCTTTTGTTCTGTCTGGATAATCGGATCTACACATTTCCTTAGGAATGATGGATGCATTCCGATGACAGCACCTTTCCCGGCCTCCTCTCTGAGTCAAGGCCTCCTCCCAGTCTGGTTGCTTCTCGGCCACGCCCCTCCCGGGCACCATCTACCTCGTGGACTTTTCCAGATGTGTCTTTCCTGCCCTCCCTCCCCCAGGGGCAGTGTGAGCCACACTCTTCTCCCAGATATACACAGAGAGACTGCTGGGCCGGAGAGCAAATCAGAAAGGATGAATGACTTCAGACCGTGGTTCAGAGGCTGAGCTCCTCATGGCTGGTGAGGCAGCTGAGGTATCTGCCACCGCAGTGATGGACACGAGGACAGGGAAGTGGAACCCAGGCCAGCTGAAGGGAGCCAGGGCTGCTGAAGAAGCTTCTAGTGCTGGGGACAGCAGCTGCAAAGGGACAAGTGAAGTACAGGAGACCTGGGCAACACAGAGAACAGCTCCCATGTGGGGGAGCAGGGCTCCCCACAGGAGAGTAACAGCACTTCCGCTGGACGGAAGAACAGCACTGCTTGTGTCCCATAAGTGCTACTGTCCACTGAAATCCCTCCTCTCGTGTATCAGAAATGGGTTCGTAGCCACTGTCTGGATCTGCGCCACACAGCAGGACTACATTTCCCAGCCTCCTCTGCTGTTAGGTGAGGCTGCCTCCCAGTGGGAGTGGACAGAAGTGAGTGCATCTCCGCGTTCTCTCCCCCTCTGGAGAGCTGGGTAGAGACAGTAAGGAGGGCCATGGGGAGAAGGGTGCTCGGGACGCCAGTGACAGCGTGGAGCAGAGTCACCCAGCAAACTTGAACAACTGGCCAAGATTGCTTCGTGAGCTACACGTGAAACCCTATGGGTTAGGCCCTGGAGAACTTGGGATCATTTTTATTGTCGTGGTGTAACTATCTTGTTTTGTTTTGTTTTTGTGGTTTCGGGGATTGAACTCGGGTCCTGTGCTTGCGAGGCAGGCGGTGGAACCACTGAGCTCAATCCCAGCCTGTGGTGTAACTATTTTACATAATGCATTCTGATTGTGGTGCATTTGTGAAAAACCTTAGAAAGTCTACATATGTGTAGAGTCCAGAAAATGGAGTGAAACACACTGAACTGTTAGCAGAATTATAGGAGGATTTTATTATCCTTGCACTCTTCTGTCTTTTCCAAATTGGCTACAACGAATACATGCTATTTTATATTCAGGGAAATATGAATTCTCCACATTCAGGTAGTAACACAGAGGAAACAGCAAGTTATGAAAGAACATTACTAGGAGACATGCACAAAGTGTATTCGAGGAAATTTAAGGACAGAGAAAAGAAAGAAAATCCAATTCCTCATGCTTTCAGAACCAGTCCCTTAACAGCAGGAGCAGGGCCCCAGCAGTGAGAAGCGAGAAGCTGCTGTCCAGCCCGGCTGGGTTCCTCCTCTCTCCTCACACATCCAGCCCGGAAGTGGGGAGGTTGAGCTTCTTTTTGTATTTTCCTTCAGTCGGTTTAGGGAGGCTGAGGATATGCATGCAGTTAGCAGAGAGAGGCTCAGACATCCAAAGATGGAGAAAGGAGAGTCTGGGTTAGAAAGGGGCCTTCACAGGATGGAGACCCTGCACTCACTCCGTCTCCCCCACCACAGCTTCCCCGAGACAGAATGGAGACTCCTGACTGTCTTTCTACCCCGCTGGTCAGAAGGTACTTTTCCTCTCCTACCTTCTTGGCAGGTCCTTCTCTCCTCACACCACACTTCCTTCTAAAGTGGCCTCATCTTCGCCAGGGCTCCCCCCAGTTGACCTGGGCTCCAAATCAGAGGGCCCCTGGCTAGGAAGCCTGGCAGGGGATTCCACCTCTTCCTGCCTCCTCCTGGGGACCTATCTCCCCACCCCACATTCAATTCTGTCCAGCCCAAAGAATGCTACCGCTACCCTCATTCCTTATCCCTCTCTTCCAACTGACCACCAGGGACTTCTCATTGCACCTCCTCGGGACCTTGCACCTACGGGACAGGCAGCGGAACCACTGAGCGAAATCCCTGACCCTCCTCAGTTTCTTTCAAAAGTTTCTCATTCCCTTCACCCCACTGACACAGCTCTACTCAGATCCATACCTCTTGTTGGAATCCTCATAACATTTCCTTGATTCATCCCCAGACCCTCAAGGCCCTCAGTTTTGCCCCAAGAATTTTGTTTTTTCTAACTTAACAAGAATCTATGAAGGCTGGGGATTTAGCTCAGTGGTTCCACTGCCTGCCTCGAAAGTGCAGGGACCCAAGTTCGATCCCCAGTACCAAAAAGAAAAAAAAAAATCAAGCAGACCCCTTAACATGACTTTTAAGACCATCGAGAGCAGAGGAGGGGTTAGGGGGGCGGGCTCTGGAATCTACCACTTAAACTTCACACATTTTACGAGTCACAACTTCTCTGGGTCTCAATTTCCCTACTGGTGAAATAGGGGCAGTGTCATGGAATGTTTTGGGATTGCCTCGCAGGCTATGCAACACATACTGTAGCCTTCAGAATAGATTTCTAACGCTTATATTTCAAATTCCAGGGTGAGAGAGAAAGGAGGGAGGAAGCTTTGAAAGGAAAGGGAAAGAGAAGATCAATAGAGTTTAAGAGTTGGGCAAGAGGGAAAAGAGAGAAGATGGGAGGAGAGATGTCCAAGTGCAGGAAAAGAAATTAATGAGAAGGAAAACTGACCAGGAGAAGGTACCTTCCTAGTGTGAATGAGCCTCTCCGGAGGAAAGGAGAACTAGAATCCGGAAGGAGTTAGGGTGACATTAGGGCCCCGGCCGGCACCAAGCTTGGGCCTGGGCCACTGGTGCCTGAACATCTCTACAAGGGCGCCGTGTGGTACCCCAGAGCCCTCTCCCTGTGTTTCACCTCCTCCTTGGGAAGGCGAGGAGCACCCTGGCTGAGGCATCGCCGTGTCACCTGGATAGATTCTGCTGCTCGTTATTTGAAGGATAGGACAGGCATCGAGCTTTCTGCAGATTAATTTTTGATTTATTGGTGGTAACAAGGATTTATTCTGATACACCCTCAGGGCAAAGAAAGAGCTGTAAATATTTTAAATGCTGTTAGCCGGTGACAAGAAACATAGCCGTACAGGGACTGGGGCAGATGGGAACTTCAAATGCCTTCCCTAAATTACTTAAAGGCAAACTGTGAACACTTGCGAGCTTGTTGAAGACAGAGGCAGGGGAAGGGGAGAGAAACACATCCAATTGTTATCTTGTTAACTCAGACAGCATCTTGTGTTTTCTCCGCAGAGTCCATCTGCTTTCCCTGCTGACTGCATTGCATCGGATTTTGCAGCCTACAGAGGGGAAACAGGGAGGCAGCTGTCAGAGTCCTGGAGAGAGGAGGCTGCACCAGGCAACTCAGGAACAGGAGCCCCCAGCCTGTGATTTCTGGAGGACCGAAAGCCCGGGCTCGAGATCAGGGCAGAGAGGTGAGGAGAGCCCTGGACTCGAACCTGACGCTGGCCGTGCACCTTTGCCCTGAATCTGTGCTCGTCCGCCTGTCAGTGGGGCTCTAGCGCTTGCTGGTGTAATAGGCTGGAGACTACAACTGCGAGCATTTGCTCAGAGACTGAAAAGAAACTAGTTTCTCCACCTTCCTCTCCTCCTGAGCCTTCTATCAGCCCTGATTGTCGATTGTCGGGGTGAGGAGAGATGGCAATTTCCTCTCCTGACAGGGGAGCTGCAGCTGGGCGTGGACTCCAGGGGGCTTGGATCCCGGGGAGAGCAGCAGTGGTGAGGGTGGGCAGTGTGAGGCTCTTGGCAGGCTTTGGGGTCCATACTCCTCTCGGGGCTGGACTGGGTGAGGGGAGGGAGGCGCTTGCCTCAGCTATGTGACATTTCAGGATATGCCAAAAAACCTCAGTAATCGAGATAAATAATAGTTTAATGCCATGGTTTAAAAAGTCAAAATTGCTACAGAAATTCCATAATGAAAATATATCTTTTTTTTTGCCACTGGGGAATGAAGTCAGGGCTTTCATGCTGCACAACATCCCCTGTCCTTTTTTGCGTTATTTAATTTTGAGACAGGGTCTCACTAAGTTGCCCAGGCTGGGCTTGAACTTGTGATCCTCCTGTCTCAGCCTTCCAAAGTGCTGGGATTACAGGAGTGTGCCATCATGCTGAGGTAAAAATGCCCAATTTAAAAATGAAGACCAGCTCAGTAGTCATCTCATGAAACAAGTTGTTCTTCCTGGTTCTGGGTGCAAAGGCAGGGGCTGGGGGGGGGGCCCTGGGTAGACAAGATGTGACCTAGGGCTTTGATTTGGGATTCTGTCCTTCATGGCCATGGTCTTAGGCACTTTCTTGTCACTGAGATACAGTACTTGCCACCCACAGCTTAAGGGAGGAGAGGATTATCTGGCCTCAAAGTTACAGTCTACGGCTGCCAGGCACCCAGGCAGAAAATGGCACGCACGGGGCAGAGTGAGGAAAAGCTGCTCATTGCATGGTGGCCAGGAAGCGAAGTGGGGAGGGAGGAGCCCCAGGGACCACCCCTTCCGGCCAGGCCCCGCCTTCCAGTCATCAGATGTGTGGATCCCGTGATTCGGTCATCCCCTCCCCCCAGCCTCCGAATGCCTGAGGCTCTGGAGGACACTTTCCATCCAGACCCGCACAGCCCCTGGGTTCAGGGTGTGAGGCCTTTGTCCTCTCATCTCCAGCTGTACCCCTCAAGACAGTCTGTCTGATGGCTCTCAAGTGGGACAAGGTTGGGTTGCAGTCCCTGCTCTGTTACCACTAACTCTGATGTCTTGGGATAGCTGCTTGGCGGTTTATAAGCCTCAATTTCCTATTCTGTGAACCTCAATCTTCTACTCTGTACCTGCTTCCTTGGGTTACTGTGAAGATGAAGTGGGATGATAGACATAAGTCACTTAACAGAGGACTTGGACATAGTAAATGCTCAATAAACACTAGTTATTATAGAAAAAGAATTACCTGAAAATGAGTATCCTGCCCGCATTCTTGAAGAGAGACAAATTGTTTCCTAAAATTGCTGGAAGGAAGGAAATCAAAACCAAGCATAGGGCTCCATCCTGCTCTTGGGAGTGACTCCTGGTTCTTGAACTAACTCTGGGCATGCCCTGGGAGGCTCCCTCCCAGAGAGGTCCAGGGTTGGACCCTACACCCAGTCACCTACTGCCTGCAGCAGGGGCCACAAACAGACCACAGATGTCAGGCGGTGGAGCCCTGAGGGCCTCAGCAACCAAAAGTTCCCCACCATCCCTGTCCGCTCGCCTGCTCCCCTTTCAGAGCTGGCTGCTGAAGATTCTAGAGTTGAATTTATGCCCCATTTTAGCAAGAACACAATACTTGGTATACAAGCCTCCATCTACAATTCCTGCTCTTATTTTCTGTGTCTCTTTCCCCCTAACTTGTCTTAATTTACTTTAAGATGCCCTTAAATCCATTTTGGAACAAGGTGGGGAATAAATAAATACACTTTCCCCCGAGGCGATATCTGTTCCCTGCAGGCCAGAAGCCTAAGGGCTGTAGGGAGGGCCCTGGGCCCTGGCACCCCCAGGCTGCCCCTGCCAGTGCTAGCTGCAGGCCCAGGCTGCTTCTCCAGCGAACACAGGCACCAGCTTTTGGAATGCTGCCAGCCCGCAGTCTGCAGAGGCAAACAGTCCTCCCTGCCGTGGGCAGTGCTGTGTCCGGCTGCCCAGACCCACAGCACCTTGAGTTCTGCAGGGCTTTCTGGGCTTGACCTTGGTGTCCTCACTTTAGAAAATGGCAGAGTCGGAAGGAGGGGTAACCGGGCCATGGGCAGTGAACAGCACAGGGAATGGGGAAGCGGTGTTCCCATGGGGGGTAGGGGGGCAGGGCCGTGGTGCTGGGTGCCTGCCCAGAAAGCATCTCAACCTCACAGCTCCCTGGTGAGGTGCAGATCACCCAGCCCTGTATTGATGAAGCACAGAGATGGAGAGTAACTGTCCTAGAGTCACACAGCTAGCATATGGAAGTGAGGGATTTGAACCCAGGACTTTGGGATGTACACCCTGAGAGCTTCCCATTATACCTTATGCTTCTCACCTTGCAGAGCACCCTGCCCCTCGGGATCTGGGTGCCAGTCTAGCTCCTCGGTCCAATGGGGAAGGGCAGGGTTAGGTGACAGAGGCTGGTTATCCAAACCCAGCCTATCAGGTGTCCAGGCTCTGGTGTGTGTACTTTCAGGCTCTGGGGTTCCAGGGACAGGAGGCTACTTAGGGTGCTGGACAGGGGCATCCTGTGGGGCATCTTCCAGGGAGAAGGAAAGACCCTAGGGGACCCAGCCAGGGCCTGAGGACTCTCCCACAGCCTTGCCTTACTCCGGGCCGCGGACCAAGCAGGCAAACTTCTCTAACCACCAGTTGGGAACAGGCCACATCCCTGCTTGGAGTCTGCAAGAAGGCACAGGTGCCTGAGTGTGGGCAGACGCGTGTGATCCCAGCACCCTGGGAGGCTGAGGTGGGAGGATCGCAAGTTCAAGCCCACCTTGGGCAACTTAGAAAGACCAGGTCTTTCTAAAAAGAAAGGGAAGGTGCTGGAGGTGTAGCTCAGCACTCAGAGAAAGGGTGCAAAGGTGAAAGAAAGCTTTTTTCTCTCTCCATGTAAACCTTTCTTGGTTGGGATGGAGAATTCCGTTCCTTCTCCCCTCACCCCTGCAACTCTTCCCTCCCTATCTTCCTCTTCTTCCTCCGGTTCATACTTAGCCATTGCCTTCATCTGTGCCTGAAAGAATCCAGAAGTCCTCTTACTGCAGCCTGGTTGCCTGGCAATATCATTGTGACTCACTGTCCCCAGGCTCCAGCCTGGCAGAACAGGAGCCTCCTGCAAAGGTCCCTGGGGAGACCCCGTACCTCTGTCCACTTCTGAGCACAGAAGTTATGGGCTGCTGTGCAAATGCATGTAAGCAGTGCGATTGAAATATATAGTGAATGTGTAAACTTTAAAAATGTATTATAGTAAGATACATTGCCATTAATCCCACTCCAAATAGGCCCCCTCACTTTGAACACATGTATCACTCTTGCCATCTTCTGAAGCAGTTCCGAAAGTCCTCTTTCATGAGTATCTTTACAAGGGGTGATCAAAACTACCGTGAACATTGCTGCGGAGTGCCGTCCAATGGGAAGGCAGTTCTTAAAAACACCACAGCGAGTCCCCACCCCATTCTCCCGGAAGCTAGTGCCATGTGACTTCCGGCTCTTTCCCCAAGGTCAAAATGACCAGGAAAGGTGAATGTTTTGAATTGATCAGGAGATTGAGGCAACCACAGCAGCAGAACTAAAGTCACTCGTGAAAGAGGACTTCCAGAACTGTTTTTAGAAACTGGCAAGAACATCAGAACAAATATGTTCAAAGAGAGGGGAAATAATGACAACGGGTTTTTTTACTGTAATAATTTTTTTTTTTTTTTTTTTCGTACTGGGGATTGAACTTGGGACCTTGAGCTTATGAGCCAGGTGGTGGCACCACTGAACTAAATCCTTGGCCCTTTAATCAATTTTTGAATTTAAATATCCACTATGTTTTTGAATCACACCCTGTATGTATTAAAATATGTATTTTATTGTAAATATAAGCCCTGGTTTTTATCACACACGCACACACACACAATTTTGAACAAAAAGTACAGGGTACTGAAAACATGTCTCAGTGGTGCAGGTTTCTCTCCAGGAGTAAATTAAAGACAGTCCCTCGTGCAGGGGCCAGGAGCTTTCTTGAGGCTCTCTTGCTCAGCCAGTCCTTGCATTTTACTGGCAGTGATGAGCAGTTTGCTGGTAAATTCACAACAGCTGGCCAGGGCCGGGGAGGCTGATTCCCCGTGGTGCCAATTTCCTTAATGTAAACCCCCAACTCCAGGCTACCAACGTGAAGTCCCCGAAAGCAGAGTGAAGAAGAGCTGTTCACCATCTTCTCTCAGGAGCTGGTGGGGAGGCTCATTTGGGAGAGGACGGAAGGGGGTTCCGAGGCTCTACAGCACCTGTGTGTCACCCTTCAGTGTGGCCCCGGGGGAACCTGCTCTGAGAGGCCGGAGAGGGATGCACCTAGCCGCCTCTCTGGACCCTGCTGGGTTGGGAAAGTGCTGTCACCCACTCTCCAGGCAACCCTGTGGACCCCAGCCAGGGTGTCACCCTGGTGAGGCTCCTTCCAGGCACCAGTTCTGCGCCTCTGTCCCGGACCACCCCCTCTTCGGAGTTCTCTGCGGCAGTGGCCAGGAGACAGGATATGTGGCATTACCAGTGTCTGAAGTCTCGAGCCAAGAACTTGAATTCGAGTCCTGGCTCGGCTGCCTGTGGCTGTCCTAAGCTCCAGCTCCTTTTGTGTGGGGAAATGGTTGGTACTGACCACACACAATTCAGTGCTGGGCACATGAAGCCTGAACCCCGAGGCTCCGTGTTTAATGAACTGAGCTGTGGTGACATTTATGCCCCCAGAATCAGGCCCTGGGCCCTGGAGTGGGCTCATGGTTGTGAGTGTCTGACTCCCAGCCCGTTAAGGACTCCTGTCACTGGGCAGGGTGGGGATGCTCTGCCTCCCCCTGACTGGAGGCAACCTCCTCTGTCCCTCAGCGGCCCTACCCTGCATGGCACGTACGCTCTGACACACGTCAGCGAGTGCATAAATATTTATGACATGTAGCTAATGCAGTTGGCTTATAGGATTCCTGGAGTTTCGGATAGGAGCTTTGGGCACAAGAAGCTATTTATCTGGGAAGCATTCCTGGATGAGGAAGCAACAGCTGTGGACACAGAGAGCAGGCTCCTGGCCTCTCAGAATGTTCTGGAAGCCTGTTCTCTCAGAATGTTTTAGAAGCCTGCCCTTCACTGAGGTAGGCTGTGTGTAAATTTTCAGGAAAGTTCACCTGACAGCTGCCACCATGGGCTGTGAGCTTTAAGAATTAACCAGCTTGTACTCTTTGGCTTTGCAGGGTCAGGCCTCCAAAGGACAGAGCCACAATCAGAGGGTGGAAAATGCTCCTCACGTGGGCTGCCCTGAGGCTGAGCCCTACTAGATCTCCCAAGACCTGAGCCCAGGGAGGAAGTCACCGACGCCTCTAGTCCCCACAGCCTCCAATAGCGGCCCCCAGCAGTAGCCCCCACACCCTTAGCCACCATGTCAGGAAATGCAGGTGTTTCAGACTCCCAGTGGCATAGCCCAGGGCTGGAGTGCACAGAGCCTTCTTTCTGTGGCAGGTGGTCAGGTCCTCAGGTGGCTGTCAGCTCAGCACGGGGACAGATGTGTTCCATTCCTCTGTGCTCAGGTGGGTGAGGGTGGTGGGAAAAACCCCGAGAGAGGGGTCCCTGGCTCTGAGGGCTACGGGTGGGGTGTCCATCCTGTGGGCCCTTCTCGGGAGCTGGGAGGGAGGAGGGCTCCGCCCCTGAGGAGACTCCCTGAGGGCTGGCGAGCTGGGCCGCCCTCCCCTGCAGCCCTGCACCTAAGCTGCTGCCCACCCGGCCACTCTTCCTCGCCCCATCTGCCTCTTCGGCCAAACCCGTTTCCTTTCCTGTCTCCGCGGAGGAGAGGGCGATGAAAAGTGTCAGCGCCGAAGGCTGAGGACCAGCCCTGACCAACTCCCGACTCCTGGTCCCTCAGCCTGAGCCAGAGAACCGTCTCCTCCAGGGGCGGTGCCCACATCCTGGCCCGATGCCCAGCACCCCGCCCTTGGCCGCCTTCTCCCGCCCTGGCCGGCTCCCCGCGGTGACCGGGACCTGGATTGTGCTCAGTGACTGCTGTCCTCAGACTTCAAACTCTTGAAGGCTGAAGCTGCGCCCTGCCTTCCACCCCTGAATTTGGACGGCCGCCCCAGCTGGGCTGAACAGCCACCGCGGGGGAATATTTGGCGGAATCTCCCATGAAGCGCAAGGACCAGAGAGTTCGATCCCGGTATCAAGAGGCAAAAAAAAGGCAAAGCGAGCCACGCTGGTTAACGGTGACAAGGGGCAGGGTGGGGGAGAGGGAAGAGACCCGCCCGCCTTTCGGAGTCTTCAGGTGAGGAGAGGCCGGGTGCTCCCTGGGCAGAGGTGCAGTGCTCTGAGAGGCAGCTGCGGGCCAGGCCCTCGGCCTATGAAGCGACCAGGATCCCAGCCCCCGGGCCAGGGCCAGGACACGCCGGGTGGCCTTGTAGTGAGAGCGGCCCTCCGCCACCGGAGAGCTGGAGACCTCCCCTGGACTTTCGGCATGGAAGGGGCCCCCAGCAGCAGAGAGAGTGAGACCGCGGTGAACAAGGAGGCCCTGAGCGTGGTGGGCAGAGCCGTGGGCGTCCTGGGGTGGGGGAGGGGAGGACTCACGACCACGGCAGGGTGGGATTAGAATCTAGGCCCTGTAAAGACACATCGGGCAATTCTGCTAGATCCAGAGAGGCGACTGCTGCAAAGAGCGAAGAGAAGGAAAAAGCGGGTGGAGGGCGCAGAGGGAGGGAGGAAGGAAACATCATCGTGCACGCAAATGGTTGCAAACAGAAGGTCACCTCTGGGTTAAGGGAAGGGGTGGAACACTGCAGGAGTCCTGAGGTCAGGAAAGCATTTAACCTCTAGGGCAAGGAGGACAGAAGCAACAGGGTGAACCCCAAGACACTCAAGCCACTCCGGGTGCGATGGGAACTCGGGTGTTTTTCAGAGTCTAAAGGTAATGCATGCATTCTCCAAAGAATTAACAGTACAACAGTACCACTGGCCACAAGCGATGACACACGTTTTGTAATCCCAGCACATTGGGAGGCTGAGGCAGGAGGATGGCAAGGTTAAGCCCAGTCTTGAAAAATTAGCAACTTAGTGAGACCTTGCCTCAAAATAAAAACTAATGAACGTTCTGGGGATGTCGCTTAGCACAAAGGCTTTGGGTTCAGTGCCCAGACTAGAAAAAAAAAGATGTAAGAAAGATACTGTTTGAAATTCTAAACTCTCTCCTATTCTGACTCTTGGTCCATAATTTCCTCCTCGGGCTCCACTGGAAATTGTCTCTCATGTTATTCCAGAGATTTCTAAGACTACAGAAGCTTACATTTCATGGCAGATGCTGACACACTACGTGTAAGATGAAAAGCATATCCATTGCAGTCCCTATAAAATCAACATGTTATTTTTTACGGCTTTCTTAGATTCAGCTGCGTGGGTGTGACAAGTTAATTTATCCAGGTCTGTGTTGGCGGACAGTTAGGTTACTTCAAGTTCTTGTTGTCATAATTAGTGCTGAAGTAATGTTCTGAATATCTGTCACTTTACACGTGGAATCCGTGGGGGCACCTGTGTCCAGGCAAGTGAAATGGGAACTCAACAGCTGTACCCACCAGGCCTCCTCTGTGTTCCACTGTGTGACAGCACCTGTCTCCCTCCCACCGTGTCAAACTCAGAGTATTTTATCTTTGCCGACCTAAGGGACCGTGGCTCGTTGCCATAATGCTAATCTGCACCGTTAGGCTGAGTTTCCTTCCACATGTTTAAAGGCATTATTGCTTCTCACGTAAATTGCTTCTATCTTTTGTCCACTTCAGTGAAAGCATTGGTGTTTTTCTTATTGATTTGTAAGAGCTCTGTATCTATTAAAGTAACTTTTTTTTACAATGTTGCAAATGTCTTCCCAAAACGTCCTTTGTGCTCTTCTTTTTCTGACGGTTGTGACAGTCATGCTGGGCTGCCAGTCTTGGCTTGATTGTTACCTAGAGGATTAATAAGCCCGCTTCTCAGCGTGTCTGGGTCACATGGAGGCGTGACTTTGTGTGTGCTATCTGCTCCCTGCTCTTCCTCCCTG